TTTCTTTACAAATCACCCAGTTCCAGGTATTCTGTTATAGCAACACAAAATAGACTAATACACTCGGGATGGACAAAGCCGACTGTGGCAGGGCCCTGCTGGGGGTGTGTTTGACGGAGAGGGACCAGTCGCTGCTGCAGTAGATGATCCAATGTTGACTCTTCCAAAGGAAGAGCTGGTGCAGAGTGGGGCCAGGCAATTGTCCACTTCAGACCAGCAACCTAAAGGACAAAGCTGAGTGCAGGGCTGGGAGGAGCAAGAGGCAAAGGTGCAGAGGGGAAGGCATGGGACTCGGGATGCTCCAGCCTGTCGCCCAGAACTTCAGTCCTGGGCAGGACAGGCAATCCTGGGAAGAACAGGCGTGGAGAAGACCTGCCCATGCCCCCGGGAGCCAGATCAGGTAGAGGAGGCTGCCCTGGGGAGGCCTTTGTGCCCGCAGCTGAAGGTCAGATGGCCCAAGGGTCACCCCTTCCCAATGCCCTGCACCCAGTGAGAGGCAAGTGGGCACAGACCAACCCACGGTGTCCAGGCCAGGGGCTCCCACACCCTAAACCCAACTTCTCCGGTCTGGATAGTAATAAATGCTTTCCCCATCAAGACACTAGCCACCACAGCTTTGGGACTTGGGCACCACATCTAGTTAGGAGAAAAGATGAGTACACAGGCAGAGAGGCCATTTCCCCTCATATTGGCCTCCTCAAATTCCAACAAAAATGCCGAAATATTTTTTCTAGAACCAACATTGATACTAAAATTCATACAGAAGAATAAACAGGTAAGAATACCTAGAAATATCTAAATAAGAGAAGCTAAGAGAGAGGTCTAGTTCTATCGAATATTGACATACTATAAAGCCTCTATAATTAAAACAGTGTGGTACTGAGGCATGAATACACAGACCAGTGGAATGGAATAGAAAGTCCAGAAATAGACCCAAGGACACAGGGAAATCACTGGGTTTGTCTTTTTTTTTTTTTAAAAGATGACCGGTAAGGGGATCTTAACCCTTGACTTGGTGTTGTCAGCACCATGCTCACCCAGTGAGCAAACCAGCCATCCCTATATAGGATCTGAACCCGTGGCCTTGGTGTTATCAGCACCGCACTCTACCGAGTGAGCCACAGGCCGGCCCACTGGGTTTGTGATTAATCACGGACTTTGTGATTAATGGTGATCAATCAGGTAGCCATTTGGAAGGAAATCAAACTAGATCTATAACTCTCATCATACAAAAGAATAAATTCCAGATGGTTCACAGATATAAATGTTAAAAATGAAATGATAAGAGTGAGAGAGGAGGTGCTCAGTTTCCCTGGGATCAAGTTTCAGGACATGACTCTGGGTTTCAAGTCATTCCTCAAGACTGTAGGCCTCTCCTCTAGTCCCTCCCCTAGAGGAAAGTTACTGTCCCTAGTTAAACCTATTTTCAGCATCAACATGAGGAAATTGAGAACTCAGGGGGCTGGCTTATGCAAATCTAGTGGCTGGGCATGCTCAGTAGGAAAGGGTTATGTAACCCTGGTAGCTAAATGACCTTCCACTAGGGGTGCTAAAGAGCACAGAATGTTCTTGAATATATCTGGTACATGTGGTGGGATCTGACCAATGAACATGCTCCAAAAAGGAGACCAATTGAGCCTGTTCAAGACTAATGTTACATAACTGGCAACCAACCCCTTAAATGAATATTCATTAGATAGAGAAACTATAAAAGCCAAATCCCAGCAGAAGGCAGGGCGGTTGCTCACTCTCCTGGGTCAAAACTGCACTCTGCCTGTATCAAACTCTCTTTGTATCAAACTTAGTTTCAGCAAGCAGCTGCTCACTCTCTTGAGCCAACCTGCACTGTGTACTGAACTTTGCTGTTTTTCTTGCTTTTGTGTTAAACTTGCAGTGGGCCCTGCTCAGTCCCTGGAGCTATGCCACACTCTCTCTGTGAAATCTGTATCTCTTATTCATTTTATTAAATCTGTTCTCATTTTCTACTGTGACTCTGCTCTTGAATTCTTTCCTGTGACAGAATCAAGAACCTGGTAAGATGGGGTGGGTTGAGGCCGACTACCAGGCCTCCCAGACCCTTCCTCCAACATCAAGAGTAATAAGAATTCATGGGTAAATACCTCTTTAACCAGAATGTAAGAAAAAGTTTTCTAACTGTGACTCAAAATCAAAAGGCAATACAAGATTAAGACATTTTACTACATAAAAATAATAGAGTTTTGCATGGCAAAAAATCACCATAAGATCAAAAGATGAATTAAAAACTGAGAGAAAATGTTTGCTATATATACCATGGATAAAGAGTTAATATACTTCACATATAAAGGATTTAAAGGACGTCGAGGGAAATAAGACCAAAAACCCAATAGAAAAATGGACAAAAAATGTGAACAGCAACTCCCTCAAAAAAGATATAAAAATAGCCTTTAACATGTAAAAAAATGTTCAACTTGATTCATAATAAAAGAAATGCAAACTAAAATTACTCTGCAGTACAATTTTTCACCTATCAGATTTGCAAAAGTTAAAAAGCTTGTTGGCATGGCCATGGGGAAACAGGAACTTTTATAATAGCTAGTGGGAATGCAAATTGATGCAGCCCTCTGGAGGGGAATTAGGCAATATCAAACAAAACTACGTGTGTGTTTACCTTTTGACCGAACAATCCTATACTTAGGAATTTACCCTGAAGATATATCACCAACAATAAGAAAATTAATTTGCACAACGTTATTCACGGCAGCATTGTTCGAAATTACAAAATATTGGAAACACATAAAGAATGATAACATTCACACAGTGGAGCACATTGCAGCTAGAAAAAAACAAGGAAGATCTGTGTGAACTGACGTGGAGTGATTTCTAGGATATATTGTTAAGTTGAAAAAAAAAGTAAAGACAACAGAGTATTTATAGTACTTATATCTTTTACATAGGAAAGAAGAAATAAGAAAATACATGCGCATCTGCTTATGTTTGCAAAAAGAAACATGAAGAAAAGATATTCCAAAACCTAGTAAGATTGGTTACCTGAGGGGGGTAAATAGGAATAGCAAAAGGGTGGAAGGGATGAGCAGGTGGAAGGGGTCAGAGGAGAGAGTGGCACTACTCTGAGTACACCTTTCTGCACAGTTTTGCCCTTGCACTTTACATACTCAAAAAATAATAATGAAATCAACAGGATGGGGGGAAATCCTAAAATGGAAGGCAAAGGAAAGTAAATGAACCTAACTATATTAAAATGCTATTCATAACCACACAGAAGGGGCAAAACTATATTTCAACGACGTATCCTCAGAATAAAGACAAAAAGAATAGCCAACATTGAACTCTAGTTGATGGATAGGTTTGTATCTCGCAGCACCATGGCTTGCTAATTCTGAAAGGACTTTCAATGTATTATAGGATTAAGTAAATAAGCAAATATGTTAAGGATAATGGGAGCTAAGTTTCTCATTGTCAGAAGAGAAAGTCACAAACTTGGAAAGAGGCCAAACTGTAATAAACAATGAACTCTATGGTGTTGGACTAGAATTGGAGATAACAGTATGAATTCATGATTTTAGATAGATAAATAGGTGGGTAGATAGAATTATATGTGTAGGGATATGTATCCATACATGTATGCATGTATAAACACACACATATACATGTATTCCCCAGATCTGTCAACTGATAGAGCCTAGAAGCAATGACACTCCATTAATGAGCACATCATGCCCACATCTTGGGTTCCTAAATACCATTTATTTATTTATTTAATTTTGGGGGGACGGCTGATCCAAACCTATGACCTTGGTGTTATAAGATTGTGCTCTAACCAACTGAGCTCACCAGCCAGCTCAATAAAGCCTATAGATTAGATAATAGTGTTATGTCAATGCTAATTACCTGATTTTTTTAAAAAATATTGTACTGTGGTTATATAAGGCAACTTCC